TTGCAGGCTTTAAAAATGTTCACCTGAATTACTGACTACCATTTTTTCATTCATTTTTTCCACTAACTCCTACTCCTACTCCATCCTCATCACACCCTCTCTTGACTCCAGCTTGTCACAAGATACTGGTTCTACTGGGGTACAAACAAGAAGTTCTGGAACAAGCATCAGGATAGTAGACACCAAAAAAGCAACAGGAAACATTTTACCAACAGTTTTATGTAAGTTACCAGCCTCAAACAGAAAGGTAAATCACCCAGATTATGTGTTTCAAAATGTATAGACATAAATGTACTGATGCTTTAAAATATCTGCAAGACACTCTCGGCTTTTAATAGATTATTTCAGAATTTAGTTTTTTCTGCCCATACTGTGCTGATAACACTGCTGTGGCGAGTCAAAGCCTTCTCTGAACAGCAGACGTAGAAAATTTTGCTCCTCGCTCCAGCATCTAGAGTCTGAACCACCCAGCTTTCCCATTCACCTATCAGTTTTGTGATTGATATCACTCAGTGCCCACCGAAGACTTACGTGGAGATAACCTCTTGCCTTATGAAGGTATTTTAAGGAAACACATGTACTAAGCAGCCCTATTTCTTCTTGCTGGCATGGAGAATAGGGCATACATACGTACATATGAGTTTGGTGAGTCTAACTGTAGGATTTTAAGACATTAGTGCCTCTCACTACCGCTGTTAACTTCTACTTCCTCCCTGTTAAAGTCAGCAGAATGGCACCAGCTCTTTCAACCTATAAGTAGTAATAAAATTGTTCTAGGTTCCAGTTTGAAATTGTACAGATAATACTCAGCTTACTCAAATGAAACAGTAAGTCCATAAAGATAAAACCTAATTCACTGCAAGAAAAACTCCTAAGCAGAGCATCATATTTTTCTCAAGCCCCATGTTCTGTACATTGGTATTAGTGCCAAAATGAGCGTGCTGCCTCCAGTATTATTAAGAGATGGGGCTTCTACAAAATGCTATCTTCTCTGGAAAATTTTACAGCTTTGGTCTTAAATCCAAAGGTTTTGTAAGCTCGCTCTAAACACTAATTGAACAAAATCAGCTGTTTGCTTTTTTTGTGTGTGTGTAATGTGCCGAGTTAGAACCAGGTGCTCCATGAAGCATGCTCAAATTGTTTCTTTTGTCTCCAAAAATGAAGATCAGCTACAAAGGAACAATGTTTGTTACCAGTCCTCAACCCTCTTTAAAGGGTTGAATACTTGCTGCAGTAAATCACACACATTACATGCCACAAATAATTGGACTCCTTGTTCTTATAGCCTTTATTGAACATGCTTTGGGAGCTTGCCTTTTTCAAACTGTTGCAAATAGAACTACTTAGTTTCAGTGATTAATATTCTGTATTTTTTATCTTATGAATGTAAAAAACCCCAAACAAAATAACAAAACCAGTATCATATATATGCTTTTGTATACCATAGGAGTTTTTTTAGGGAATAGATTAAAGCTATCAGCTCCTAAGATAATTATAATTTTAAAAAAAGTACTTGTTCAAATCCAAATCCATTTCTATTTTATGCTTGGGATTTTTCCACTGATTTTTATACTTGGATCAAAAGTGCAAAGCCTTGTCTAAAAAGAGGTTAAGAACTCCACTTGATGGCCTTTATTGCATCAAACAAGTAGATCTTTCTTCCTAGTGCTTCGAATTCTAATTTTCTCTGAAAGGTGCAAGAAGAAAGGACTGCCCAAACTATAAAGGCAATGCTGGGAAAATTGTTCTAATTTAAGGATATGAATTTTCACTATACAGCCAGTAAATTTCTAAATGACTTCATTACACTCAAGTCTTAGCTTCATAGATTTATATGTTAGAAACAATTTAATAAATGGTAATAACATAGTACACTCTCGTCCCCAAACTGTAGTTCAGGAGTCTAATGTAATCAGTCTAGGGACCCATATGAAGCAGGCAAATTTACAGAGCTTTCAATTACAAGCTTAATATAGGAGTCTGATGTTCCACAAGAAACCTTAATAACCAGTAATAGTCTGTTAGTACTGATATGGCACATTTCAGGTTTAAAGCATTTAGCAAATGAACACCTGCATGCATTGTTAGAGCACAGAGATTAGTCCATTGCTGCTTTGTAACTATTCCATATAATAAAGAGAAATAAAAAGCAATAAGGCAAATTAATTTCAACTCTTCAGGAAGTTTTTGTGTTACTTGCAGAGTGAAATTACTTGAACAATAATGCACCAAACAAAGAATGATATTATTCAAGTTCAGTTGCTATATAAAGGTAACAGTCAAACTATTTTTGGACAAGCCTGCTGATGAATAGGAAATCTGTTTTTACTGGGGAACAATATATAGACTTAAATCTTGATCTGATTATGAAACAGTCACCCATATCAGCTATTTCAAGATCCCAGGTATTTCATTACAATGGAATGCTGGCACGGAGCTTTATACAGTTTGTGCTAGTTTCTTTTCTCTGAAATTTTAAATTGAGTTTCTTTTGATCTGTGTAAGTGTAAATAAATCAGAGACAGGCGCAAAGCATAAATGCCAAACAAGAATATTTTCAATGCTATTAAATTTGAATACTGCTGTTGGTTCTTTTTACCTGGTTTTAGCTTTCCATTGTTAGCTGCAGAGCTTTTCTCAACAAGGCTTGTTATCTGGAGATATGGTCCATTCTGTATGATTATGAGACCTAATCCTTGTTCACCCATCCTAATATTTGCCTTCAACACTGCAATCAGTGTGTGCCGAGAGATGTTTTCCAGTGCTGGCAACCTCCCTTTGAAAAGTGAAAGGAAAATTTCACTAGTTGAAAGTGTGATATCATATAAAATGTTTAAGGAGACATTTGAGCAGGTCCTTTACCCATTCTTCATTGTCCAAACACTTAAGTCCCTCATCCTTAACTGCTTCTCTAGATAGGCTTTGTCTGCTGAGTTGCTGTCAAAAAGCCATAACAGCAATACTTACAAAAAGTTAGTATACTCCATAAACTAGCTTTCTGCAAATAAATATACTGAAAGTAGCTTTTACTGAGAAACTTATTTCTTAAAAAGTCACATTTTACCGAGAGAAAAAGCAATGTTGCTGTTAAGTATTCATTACAAATGGTGATATATTCAGGGAAGGTAGAGAACAAGGTACAGAATAACAGAACAGAGGAGTTGTCAGCTGTTATGAACTTCAAGAAAAGATTGAATTTCTACAAAAAATTGATTTTTTGAATCAATATTTATAGAGGAGATTAATTTCTAAATTCCCAGCACATTGTTTTCCCACCTACTGCTGACACGAGGGGAGGGACTGTGCTTGCCACATTTAGCACCTATAGAAATAAAATAATCTTTGAGCATCCACTATCCATTCAAATGCATAATATGAGTAATACTATGAAGATGACATTATCCCAGTGTCTCCACCAAGAAATATAATAGTGTAATAAACTAAATCCTCCATCTCTAAAGCCCATTCTCCTCATCAAGATCTAGGAAAAGTTAAGAATGTCACACGAGTGCTTGAGACTCCTAAACCAAACTGTATTCTGTTAAAAATTACTTTTTTGTCTCTGTTTTAAGATGTAATCGCTAACTGTAACTTCTGACAGTGGGGTAGCAATAACTTAACTGCTTGAGACCATCTCCAGCAGTCTGGAATCATTTAATGAAAACTCCCACCACTTTACCCCTCTTCTTTAAAATACAGAAACTTGGTCACCTTTCCAATGGCTTCAGTAAAGCTTTGGATCAGGCTCTAAATGACAGCACAGAATGTCTGTAAAAGAATTAGGATTGGAAGTGTAGCAATGTGCACATTTGATTTGTCAATTGGAATGGTTTGAATTTTTTTTTCCTTCCCAATGAAGAGTGCAGGATTTTTTTGTTGTTGAGTAGAAGACTACATTTCACTTGAATAAAATACTTAATATTTTCATGGTTATGCAGGAAAACCAAAGGAAGACCCACTCTGGAAAACACTTCCATCTGTTGATAATTCTGAGAGGTTGGATGTCTGACCTGCTACTGTTTTTCCATCTCAGGAATTTATGCAAAGTGGAACAGGAACAGTTGAAGGGATTGAAACCTTTCCTATGGTGTTCTTGGTCACTTTTCAAGAAATGTGTGTTTCAATCCTTTTCAGCCAGAAGAAGGAACTGAATCCTAGTTTCCTACTTCTAGAATGAGTACTTAAGTCCAAGACAAATAAGTGTAAACAGATTATATGAAGTAAGGCTAATTTATATTATTTTCTAGCCAAAATTATTCAGCAAATCCAATAAAATTAATGAGCAGTAGTAGGTCTGCAAATTATCAGCAGTGAAAAAATAAACAAAAAATGCTAATCACAAAACTAGCTAACTTTAATTAGAAGCCAGAATCCTGATTTTAAGCTGCTTCTTATTGCATGAAGTTATCTTGCTGGACATGAGAGATTTAAAATTATGAAAGCTGTGGTTAATCCAAAGCCTACAAAGCATTTGGGAGGAATGCTAAGATTCACACTTTTAGATGAGAGTCTTTTCTTTTTAGTATACCTGATATCAGTCTATATAGTCTCCAAGGAAGGTGGATTTTGTCTTTGTTCTGTGCTACAGAAAGTTCACACTTGCCAGTATTACAGTTCCCCTAACACTGTCCTGATTTTCTCCAAGGTCACCCTTAAATTCTGCAGTTTCTGCATAGGATCTCATCCAAACCTCTCCTGCT